ATTTATTTAGATATGGTCTTATAACCTTGTGTTTATGATCTATAATCTAAATTGTGCTTTATCAGAATATCTTAATGTATTCACCTGATCCTAATACATTTTCACTTTTGTACTCACAAGGTAATAAGACAAAATCCAAATAAATAAATAGTGTGCGACCTTTCAGTAACAGCATTGTTACCATCTTACCTTGTTTCTTGAAAATAATGATACTTCGGCCAGTAAATCTTTTTATTACCTCAATGTTTTGACAAAAATATTTTTGCTCCTGACGAGGACAAAATATTTTTAAATTACAAAACTATTCTAGACGCGTAATATTCGTACCATCTACCATGGTAGATTAAACTGGCGAAACCGCTGGGAGGGTTCACCACTGATGAGCCAGGCCCTCCCTTTAATTTTTCCATTGCAGTAAGGGCAGTAGAAATTGTTTTATTTTAAAAAGAATATTACGCGTCTAGAATAGTTTTGTAATTTGATAACAGATGGCGCGCTAGTGCATCGAAACAAAATATTTTTGTCGAAACATCGAGATAATAAAAAGATTTACTGGCCGAAGTATCTTTATTTTCAAGAAATATGAATGCCGGTCAGGCAGCCTCTATCATTAAGATATTACTTTGTGTTTCTAATCTATAATCCAAATTGTGCCTTATCACATTTGTTGTTTCACAGGGTGGGAAGTGTTGTTGTTGGCTGACTTCCTACTATGACTGTACCATTTAATGAAAATGATGGGGGGTGGGTGGAAGGCTGGTTAAACCGTTTGGTTTTCGACCACTACGACCCGGGTTCAATTCCCGCATTGGACACTTTTTTCTACTAAAAAAAAATGCTCCAATAGCCCCTGTTTCTTCCAAAAGTCCAACCCCACCAGTGAGTGCAAGTAACCAAACGGGGCTCTGGCACATTTCTAAGTGCAAAGTCGAACTGCTTTTCACATGTGTAGACATGTGGTGCACTTACAGTAAAAGCAGTCGCTAACTACCCACCATGATTATCATGGCCTGTACCACGTATACTAGGGATAAGCAAAAAAAAAAAAAAAAGATAATGATGATTGTTGACAGGAGGAATATTTCCCCCGGGCCGTGGGGGAGATGACCGGCCTGCGATGGCTCAGACTCAACAAGGCCAAAATCGATTGGATCCCAGATGAACTCTCCAGTCTCCAGAAGCTGGTATGTCCCATCGCACACGCAGATAGACCTGGGTGGGTCTCCCAACTGTGACCTGCGCAGGAAAGCTTGTCCCTGGTGCGCAACAACCTGGTCACCCTCCATGGGGAGGTTCCCACCCTCTCCTGCCTCAGGTCCATCAACTGCCGCGGCAACAAGCTCAAGAACTGCGGAGTGCCCCCTGAACTCTTCAACTTGGACGATCTCTCCGTGGTGGTAGGTTGATTGGATGGTTCCACCCATTGGTGGGGAAGTTCATTCCGACAGTGAACTGAGTAATGACAATATTCTCTCTCTGACCACCTCTCTTCTTTTCCGGGTTAATTGGCCAATTAGACATGGTCTTCTAAGTGACCTGAGGATC